CAGGGGGTTTGCCCGGTAACATAACTTCCGGCTACGCTCCTGCCCCAGTGAACTGTTGAGCTACTACAAATACGCAAACTGCTTTGTTGCTTTATTTTCCTCGTAGGAGGCCTCGGCGGATTGCTCTTCGGAATGCTCATCCTCGGTCTCATTCTCGGTGCAGCAGGCTACACGGCATTCAACTACTTCCGCGCGCGACGAGCTGGTGCCGACAACACCACCGTGCGCTTCATGCGACACGAAGACGCCAGCTAAATGAAATCAGCATCAGAAATCACTCGTCACATCGTTTTCTTTTTTGTGTGTGTGTTTTCATCACGTGCGCTGGATTATATGTGATCGACATTTATGTTGAGCACAAAATGACCTTTCAATCCCACAAACAATGCAGCACTTTTGGAAGATATGCGCTAAAGAACTTGTTCGGTCCCCAACTCCGTTTACATAAGAGTCACAAAGCAGAGAAAGCACAGGTATTAAAAGCTTTCCGGAAGCAGATTATTTAGTGTCATCATTGTCATTTGGGAACAGGCAATTTTATTATCGAATTTTCGATGCTGCTTCAAAAACTATATCTTAATAGAATTCCCCTTTGCGTGGTGTCAATTCCTCAGCTTTCTTGCAATAGTACATCCTATGCCTTTGTCACCTTACATTATGCAGCCTGCAACATATTGAGCGTTCAAAGCCGATGCTTCAACAAGAGTGTGGCAACACAAATACACATTCCTTGCGTGACAAAGAGAACGAACTTCCTTCCAAAAACGCTTCAGTTGTTTCTATTTATTGCGAAGGATGGCAACTGTTTCCCAAAATAAACGTGTTAATAAGTAATAAAGACCATACACGATTGTGATAAATATGAACGTGATTTCTTTCTCTTGTGTGTATGTGTTTGTTTCTCACCCATTAGAAAACCTACCCACAAAAGTCAACATGCAGCAGTAAAAAAAAAATAGAATCACACCAAAAATGGATCACGCTCTAGTGGCACGCTCAAGAACAACAGCGTGGGAATTCGTTGCACACATTACGTAACAAGACCAAGCTATGTCAAAAGCGAGAAGGGTAGGTTTCTTGGGTGTAATAAGAGAGTTAACTTCCTAAATGTTCTCTTATTTGTCTAGAGCATAATTACACCAGTGTGTTAAAGTCCCAGAGAAAACAACAAATACTCAGATCAATATGCTAATACGCTCACGTCATTTCTGAAAAATATAAAATAACAAAAGGCAGAGGTGGGCACGTGGTTTCTACCCGTTTCGAAAAATATAATGCTGCGCTCCCTCTCTGATTCACGTTGTTACACAAGCTATGTCATATTAACGGCTAACTTTGTTAACCCTAGATTTGCAGTTGGCCATGTGAAGGTGAAACAGAACAAGCTAATCACAACAATCTTGATTGATCACGTTTATTGTGTGAGAGAGAGAGGGCTGAGAATTCGCACTTTTATAATATAACTTTTGATTTAAAGTCTATATTTGAATATCACTCTTTGTGATACACATATGAATATATTTGCTCCATGTTGACTATAACATGTGTAAAAATGAAGACAAATTGACAAAAATTAAGAACAAGCCATCAAGATGTGGGAGAAGAAGCATTTATTGCTAATAAAAAACCTACTGAAATATGAGCATTCATATATGGTCACACTATGTCACTGGACATGAAATATACCCACTGTATGAAATCTATTGCTAGGTATGGTCAGCACGCTGTCGTGCTAGCCGCATAAGGTGCTGCAGCGTGCTAGTTAACACTCAGCCAGATCTCAGTGGCCAAGGCTAACTGTTCAAAGAAGGCTGCAACATGAGAATGGAGTAAAAAAAAAAGTGATGTAAAATGTGGTCCCAAGTCAAAGCAGGGCCATACACGTATTACAACAGGCAACCGTTATGTGGGGCGATGAAACGATGAGAGGAGTGAAATGACCAAAGGGTGGCATGCTGCAGACAGCACTGTTTCCTAGCTGCATTACATTCTTGTGCGCTGCTTAAATGACACGTACATATGTTAAGGGGGTAGATCGGTCTTTGGGACCAAAAAGTGACAAATTCATTTTTTAAAATTGACATATTTAGTTTCTGCAAGTATTTTCTATCTCTGTGCAAATTTTCACACACCAGGAAGTGGTAAATTTTTTTTGTAATGTCATTCTAACTGCCCAGATTCTTGGTGCTGTTAACATGCAGAACCTGCAAAAAAATGGGGAACCGACTTTGAGGCTTCTTTATAATTGGCCGGCATCTGTGTTTGAAGCTCTGCTATGAACTTATGAGCACTTTTATGAGGATCGAAAAACATGTGCACCATGACTGTTGCTTTTTGAAGAAGCTGTGTGTTTTCAGTTTTTTCCATTTTTCTCAAAAAGTAAATTTACGACTGTTCAATTTTAAAGCCTCAATATCTCTACAGCTAGGGCAGGTACAAAAATCTCTTTTTTTACAACGGAAACCGGTATGTGTGTAGAATGCAAGTGCGGGAGCAGAATTTAGAGCACAAGCCTTTTTAACTAATTACTCATCAAAATTGTAACCCAATTCCAACTGTTTTTGCTAATGGATAGCTCATTTTGCTATAAAATAACCAAAAAAAAGCCTAAAAACAAAAAAAACTATTGTATACTTTCACTCTATAGTCATTAGTCTATGTTGGCATATCTTAAATATCACTTTTAATAAAGGCCTTTTTTTCTATGGCGGCCTTAAACAATAGGGGGTGAACTTAAATTATATCAGGAACAAGATGAATTACAGGAAAACCAATTAAATATTTGAAATCACCAGGATAAACTGCATGATGCTGCGCAGTTTGAGCAAGATCACTGAAGACATAAACAAAAGATCTCTAAGACCAGTCTGCCCCCTTAACGTCCACATTCTGATCACCACAGTGGCTGCATGATTTATTTTGCCTGCCTCGTTCAAGGCACAGTTTAGTTGGCTCCCATTTTCATCCCACCACTTGCGTAGTTCTTAAAGCCTTCTCAAGTATCTTCGTTTACGTTCGAGCTATTCCATCAGAGATAGGAACTCGTATAATGCAACAAATGTACAAGTTTCATTCGAGAAATAACAGTGACCCGCTCGGAGTGATGCGTGTCTGCTTAACTTTTCGAGTGTTGAATTAGATTTCCGAAAAACATTTTCCCGGATGGTCAAATTACTTTAATGCAGTTTTTGAATGTATGAAATGTGTGAACTTGGGAAAATATCGTTAAAGAAGTTGGGAACAGATCTTTGGCTGCAGCATTATTCTGAACTGCAAAACATTCAATTAGTATTTCAAAGCATGGCATTTCACAAAACGCGGGTCTATCCACACATAGCACGCATCTCCGTTCGCTTCTCTGAGTGACGAGTAGTGCTGACAAACGGCAAACACATGGCATCTTCTCTGTGCGTGTCTGCCTTGGGAGAAATAAACTCGCTAATCAAGGGGAATGGAAATGCCTCAAGATTGTTGGCGATAATTGAGCTAGGAGCAGTACCAAAATAGATGATTAATCAACTTCCACTACCCCTGCAAGGAGCTGCCAATAATGACAAAAAAGTTTCATGCATCTCCGTAGCAACCTCACGGCAAAAACGAAAACACGAAACGGCACCGTCCGTTGGCGTTGCCGCAGACCGCGCGAAGCGGTAACGCTAGAAATCAGTTCTGTTTATCTTTGCACGAAGATAACCTAATAATTTTCAATGCTTCATGCAATCCTATGAATCGGAAACACCTTGCAAGGAGCTGCCAATTCATATGATTTGCATGAATCTTCCTTGAAATTTCTGGCGAAATTTCAAGAAGATGGCGACTTCTGGCAACTTTTCACTCGTCATTTGGCGAATGTTTCTGCCTCCAAAAAACCCTGCCTCCAAAGAACACTGCTGAACACGTGAGCAGGACTACTTCTTTAGTCACAGAGAAAATCTGTTGTTGCGCTCTGGTCCTCGCGGTGAAGCTCCTCTGGATTTCTTATAGAGACACTAAAGAGCAAATGGATTTTTCGCATATTAGTAAAATACAACTTCACGATCCCAAGAACACCACTCTTACCTTCAGGCGACACTTCGCGAGTGAGAAAACGTGCATAAAGAAGATGCGGGTAGAGATGGCACCTTGAGATTCCTGCATCAAACACCATGATGTCATAGATTTTGAAGGAGTCTACTGGGTTGTAGATAGCTTCGAATCGATAAAAGTGACGTACATCACCATATGTGGGTGCCATAGCCTTAGCATACAATGTTCAAGGAAATATCGTCGAGCGAATGTCGCAAAAATTAGAAAAATACATATTGAAATTTTAGATGTCACGAAATTTAGAAAGTAAATTCGACCTTAATTTTCTCTGCTAATAATAAGCTTATGATAGTTAAACATATGCCATTAGAGTTCTCAGAGTGAAGTTTGTCAATCTAAACTAAGTCATTGTTTCTTTTCAATGTCCCTTTAAAGTGGCCACGGCAGCTAATTTTTAAATCATAATTTATGTTATGAGGGTTAACTTTTGTACATTCATGAATAAGCTGGTGAAATTTTAGCACATGTAGTTGAGAACATTATCTATAATTGAACATCGTTATAAACGCTCACACAGCCCGAGAGTTGGGCAACACTGGTAAACCCGCAAGCTGTGACATAAGCTGCCGACCAAGGATTTTTTCCATGCTCAGTTGCATGTGCAGCTGAGCTATTTCATATATCTCCAGCTTAGTGTTGAAATTGCACAACTAGCAATGACTAAAACAGTGATAGAAGACAATAGCTCTTTTACATGCTGCACATCTTATCACACATGTCATAGCAAAACTGAAGCCACCTGCAGTGGGCAGGGATTGTAGTTGATGACATTTAAAGGTTATTTTGCACTGAAATATCAACGTAGACTATCTTTTGTACATATATATAGGCCCAATACAACTTGTACTCCTACTTTTTGTTGAAAACTGCAACTTCCTGTGTGACAGCGTCATGGCCCTCTTTAAGTCGTATCTGAGTGAATGTATCGAGGAGATCACAGGTCAGGTTAACGCGGTCCATTCTCCTCTTTGAAGCACATACCGATTTGTAGCAAAAGTAAACAGTTACTTATCTGCACAAACTCTCTCGCTCAAGTCGAAATAGGGTAGTCCAAAGCAGCACTCTACCAACATGTGATCTCCGAAGCCAGTGGCCAGTCTGTGCTGCTTGTCCGTATCGAAATTGTGCAACACCGCCGTCCTCCCATTCTCCATAAAGAAGCCGACTCCATCGCCCAGGGCACAGCCACAGAGGAGGGACCGCAGCGATATCTTTGGATTCGCGTATTCCGAGAAGGTCCGCGGCTCGTGGAACGTGTACCAGCTGTCGGCACCCTTGCACACGATGACCGTCTTGTGACTACTAAACGGAATGGCGACGACTTCAGAGGTTGTGAACGTGAATACTGAGAGGAACACCGCGCGAACTGTTTCGATACTGCTCGCTGGGCATGTTGGGATGATGCACACTCGGTTGTTCAGGTTCACGATGGCACTGGCATCGATGGCAACTTCCTCCGGGAGAGCTTCACCCCGATGCCACAAGCCTGGATGGGCAAAACAATTACGGAGTTCAGTATCGGCAGTAGCGAGCACTGCCTCAACACCAACAATGAAAGTGTTTTCTTTGCTTGTCTTTTTTCCCCTTTTCGTTTTTGTTAATGTCATCTTTAGACAAAAAAACTCAATTCTGAAGTTTTAAGTGTCAAACCCGCAATACTAGGCCTTTTCCGAGTCCGAACAACACCTCCAGTGGTGATCGCTGAAATAGAAACTGGTGGCCCTTGACCTCCGGAATTGTTTACCGTGCACTGGCAGGCCATCTCGGAGGCCTGCATTCGTGCGTTTATTTGAGGGAAACATTCGGCAAGTTTTTGACACCATATGTCGCTTGGTATGCACCTGTCGTAGCGCTTGAGCCACCAAAAATCATTACACATGCTGTGGCAATGCCAGTGTGCATGCTTAAACTACCTGCCCCGAGAAGGCCCACTTAGAACATGCTGTGGGATGGGGGACGGCGACCGGATAAATTTTTGATTCGGTGGTTTCTTTACAGGAGCCCTGCAGCACCGTTTGAACATGGTTAGAAAATACTGCTGATCGGTCATTGAGGCTTCTGAAAATGTTTAAGCCAAACATTATAGCAGAGCCTGCAGCCTGGAATGTACAATTGATTCTCAAAGTTAGCTGGAAATCACATGCTCTTCTCTCAACAAGTGAAACCGCAATCCAAAATGACAGTGGCATAAACAGAAAGTGCACTGCTATTGGCCGATTTTAGCATTGTGAGTCGCATAGTCACCGTGGGTGCCACGGGACTCTGCAAAGTGGCCACGCGTGTCTTACACTGGAAGGAAGCTGCGTGTTCAAAAAAAAAAATAGAAATCACAGGAGGCTCATGATTCGCACTCATTAAAGAACGTAGATTCCTGCCTCCATTTCATCTGCATGCGTAGCTTTCAGTGAGCTTGCTCGTAGGAAATACGCGCAAGAGCACTTGGAGTACATAAATTCCTGTAACTGCACTCATACTCGACTAATTCTAAAAACTTTTGCAGCAGTCAATTAACGATAAAATAAACTCCTATAATGAATTCACTCGATGAGTACTTAGAAACGTGTTGTAGGGCCTTCTCAATGTGCCCGTAAATGTTGCACAGAGGGTGCACAGACCACAGTACTATTTTCCCAGTACAATACCACACAGAAATGCTGTATGCTGAATACCGGCATGCAAGGAAACCAACTTTCCTCCAAAGTTAAATAACTTTTTCCTCAAAGTTCTTAAATAAACCTTAGGGCTTTGAATGCACTCCACATGCTCATGTATTGTTCCAACGCCGCAGAAGATCTAAAAATTTGTAATTTGACGTTACATAAAGAATTTCAGGAGGCATAATGTCACGAGGCTCCCATCCAAAAATTGCCCAGAGAAAATGGCTTTGCAAGTGGTAGAAACATACACATGACATGCACACACTCGACGTCAGCAACAGAGAGACAAACTCACCGGTGTTTGTGTCGTAGATGTCAACGCTGAACAGCCGCACCCTGTACCTGCCGAACCCACCGTACAGGTGGATCGAGTTTCCCACGACAACCGTCTTACAGTGCCTCCTCGGTTCTGGTAAAGTGGCAACACTAACCCACTTCGACAAGACGTGGTTCCAACGGTACACAGCGGAGTTCCAGTGGCCAGATCCAATTCCGTATTCGCCACAGAGGAAGTAGGCGTCTTTCCCTAAAATTTAAGACAAAATAGGAAAAAACAATAACTAATCATGCAAACATCTTGGCGTGTTTACAGTAACACGAGATTAAAACAGCTCCAGCTGGTACAGCCAAATGCCTCCATAATGATGTACACTCCAACCTCGATATAACGAACCAGGATATAACAAAATATCGGTTATAACTAAGTAAATGAAAAATAGTCTAACAATGGATATATTGTTAAGAATATACTTCTATAACGAAATTTTATGTATGACAAACTTATTTTCGTGTATTATGAAACTTTGTTATAACGGGGTTTGAGTGTACTCAATGCCTTCACTATGTTACATTGTTGCAGAGCTATATGAAACTGACCGACAATTATGTCAAGGAAAGGGTCTGAGAGGGCATTTGTTGCTTGTAACTGCGGTGCAGTAATTATAACATGTAGTGCAGTTAATCAAAGTCGATGAAAAGGTCTTCCACAATCGCTGCCTTGGTTATACTCGGCGACAACTTATCTTGACATTGCAGCGAATCCTGTGAAGGCGAGCTTCCGCACACTCGTGTTGCTCCGCAAGTAGTACAGCAGCTTGCGGTTTATTTCGGTTTTGCTCGCTCGCATCGTTAACCCATTTAGAAGAACATGTACACGAAAAATATGAATAGGAGAAACATTTCGATTGTTCAGTGTATATTATAGCGTCATATTACATGCATATTGTTCTTTGAGGACTGAACAGTGCGTTTGCAGTGCCAAACTGATGCAGTAGGCCATTACATTAGAAAACAAGCGTGCTGAAAAGCTGGCACTGCCTAGATATTGAAAGAACAGGAATGCATTTTTGCAAAGTGAACAATAAGTGTATTTAACCTATGACTTCCCACAAGTGTTTGATGTGTAATACAAGAGTTGTGAGTTCAAGCTCTACCAACGAAATGGGTTTTAAAGCAGGTCAAACGCTTTCATGCCACCCTGTCTGAAAATATATTTTTATTTGGAGTATGTAGAGGTGATGCCACCATGTTTGACCCTTGTTGTTGCTCTTCGCTTATTATTTGCGTTGGCTTCGTCTTTGTGAGTGTGCTTGAGCAGCTGTATTTAAGATTTAAAAGAGTTTGAAAGTGAGCGCATCGATAAGAATCCACCTAAAAAAATGGCAATACCTTACAAACAGCACCAGTTTTCTCGTGCATGTGTAAAGTAGCACTGTTTCTTTAAATGCAGAGCATTTCTTTGCATAGTGCAGACATTTTAGGCGTTTCTATCTACATATCTGTCTATCTATCTAGCTGCTTACATCTGGTTGCTCTCGTCACCACCTTCTTAATTTGGTGTGGACCAACATTAGTACGGGAGTATAAGAGGGTTTGACGATTATGACTGTCTAGTAATGACATGAATGATGTGAAAATCCCGTCGCATACAATGTCTAACCATTTTATTCAGACACCTGGAGATTCCAGTATCTGAATTGGTAGCAACATGTTTGAAAACGTGCCAAGCTGCACCGATAGCTTTATGAAGATGTTGTGTTGTGTTTAACTCTTTGGACAGTTTTCTAGCTACGTGCAAGTGCAATTATTCTTACCATTCTTAATCATTTCGCATACTGGGGCCTATACGTACACCATGGGCCCCAGTATGCGGGTATGGGACGCAGTTATTCAACATTTCATACCTACCGAGGAATGGTGAGAACAGACGCTGGTAATTTCATTGCGACAGCTTTAAGAAAAACTGACATCGACAGTGTTGACCCGATAAATGCAAAGATAAACTTTATGGTCCCAGTAGGAATCGAAGCCAAGCACTCTTCATAGCAATCAAGCAATCTTCCAAACCCACAGGAGGTCTCAGAACAGCTTTGAAAAAAGACCATATGCAGGTAGAATGTTGGTCAAACGTGAATTGATATTGCAGTGCTGCCTATATAATGTTATAAACATAAAGCTAAAATTTCAGTATTGAGCTCTATCTATTATGTCATAAGTTTCTTTCTTTTCTGAATTGCATGTACGTGTAGTGTTCTTTTGGTGACTATGTGTAGAATAATGTATGTTTTTTTTTGTGCTTTTACTTGCGTACTCCAGTTTTTGTACGCTGTCACTGCGTGCTGAACTGTAACCAGCTGGGAAGCCTAGTCAAGCTCAACTGTAGCCGAGTCAACTGTAGTTGAGTGCCATGCATCGAAGTTGGTCTACATAGCACTATTCAAGGCTACCATCCTCGCAAGCACAAGCGCTACAGTTCAGCTTTCTGCTTCTCGTGTTGGCAATACCTGTGTTGCTATTGGCACCGTTACCGAATGATAAACAAGCGGTTACATAAAACATATGCATCTCTTCAACATACATGTCTGTACATGCAACATTTGTAAATATGTTCTGCATCATTTCAGTACGTTTCGCTCAGCAAAAAAATTACACCACAGTCACCTTCCCTCCGCACATTTCGCATGACATCAACTCCCACGGTACGTGGCATCTGTCGAATTTTCATACGGTGTTTGCAATCACGTATTTAATTTTATGAAGTTTAGCTGAAGGTTTCTGCTTCTCTCTATTGTGCCATCGCGTTCTTTGCCCACCATTCCCATTGCCCAGAATGTAGTAGAGCGGGAACCATTGGCATGCAAGACAAATGATACAATGGCAAAATCTGCTACAGACTACTAGAGAGGTAAAGAGCAGTTTCTTTGACATCATGCCTTCTTAGCTTGAATGCTGCCTGTGAACCCAAACTTCCGACGTACAAAACGGTTCTGGATTTTACCCACGCGGACGACAATTCAATTCTTGCATTTCTAGCAGCGTCTTTTGATGATTTCTTGTTCAATAGCAACCAATGCCATGTGGACTTGTTAGTTGATCAGTTTTATAAGATTGTTGAACACTGCATACACACATATGTCCCACAGAAGTGCCTAAAACGAAACCCTCGGCATCCTTGGCTAAACAGAGAAATTATTCAGCTTACTCGGCGAATAAAGCGACTTCGAAGGCATCGTAACACTCTCCTAAATAACCAGCACTTATTGAACTCTCTGAAAACAGAGCTAAGAGAAAAAATGCATGCTGCCCGCAAATTCTACTATGAAAGTTCGTTAACAACCTTTATGAAAAACGACCCATCTAAATTCTTGAAAACTCTTAATCCTGCAGGCCCGACATCTTCCTTACTTATTGTGAACGAGCAGCCCTCTTCGGATTCTTTAACTATCTCGGAAGCGTTCAATGGTTATTTCAAATCAGTGTTTAGTACAGATGATGGCACCAGTCCCGCTTTCGGTCTTGACAGTACATTGCCTGCCTTCCCAGAACTACAGATTAGTTACGCTGGAGTTGTCAATCTCCTACTGAACATCGACACAAATAAGAGTGCCGGCGCTGATAACATCCCTAACACATCTTTAAAACGTTACGCTGAATGGAATGCGAGGTATTTAACAGTCATTTTTCAGAGATCCCTTGAAACAGGAATTGTACCGCAGATTTGGAAAAATGCAAAAGTTGTTCCGGTGTTCAAATCTGGCGACAAACAAGTAATTCCAAACTATCGACCTATTTCATTAATCTGCACCTGCTGTAAAATTCTAGAACACATTATTCACAAACATGTAGTCACATATTTAACTGAAAACAACCTCCTCTCCCAAAATCAACATGGCTTTCGTGCAGGATTTTCAACAGTCACGCAGTTGCTGGGGTTTACGCATGACATCGCTTCGACTTTAAACGATCGCGGTCAAGTGGACGCCATTTTTATTGACTACTCAAAAGCGTTTGATACTGTTTGCCACAATAAACTCCTCCTCAAATTAAAAGCCTTTCTGCGCGGCACTCACGGCATTCGCTTGTTATCTTGGCTTTCAGATTACCTAAATTTAAGGCAACAGTTTGTCGCGTTTAACAATTCGCATTCGTCATCCCTCCCTGTCACATCAGGTGTGCCGCAGGACTCGGTCCTTGGGCCTCTTTTCCTAAGTTATCTCAACGATGTTGTCGAAATAACAAAAAATACAAAGGTCAAACTCCATCTATACGCCGACGACTGTGTCCTCTATTCTTGTATTAGTACCTCCCGTGACCAAATACAGTTAAATAATGTTTTTTCTTCTTTCCGTACCTGGAGCTCAACGTGGCAAATGGCACTAAATCTTAACAAAACGGTAAGCATGACATTCACAAACAAGAAGGAACCCCTACGTTTTTCCTATGGCCAGAACATGAAGCATGTCAACGAATACAAGTATCTTGGCGTAACATTCTCACCGAACTTAAAATGGCATAAACATATAAACCTAATCTGCTCGAAACGTTAAAAGATGCAACTCACGAATGCAAACTAACAGCATAGAAATCCCTGATACGGCCTGTTCTTGAATACGCCTCCGTTGTCTGGTCACCTCACTGCGCATGCGACATAGCACACTTGGAAGGTGTTCAAAAAAAAGCAATAAGATTCATATATCACCGTTATGATCACAATTTTTCGCCTTCGTCACACGCTGTACGTCTATCACTCAATTCACTTGAACACAGACGTACTTGGGAGCGTATCGGCACTTTACATAAAATCGTGAACAAGATAATCACCATTGACATGCCCTTTTCCTTTGCCAACTCCGTTGCAAACACTCGCAGGTCAAACCCCATTAACATCACACCCTTCATGCCATTTCTAGATTGTTTTAAGTTTTCATTTTTTCCTTTCACAGTGGAATTGTGGAATAATCTGGATGTTTCTCTCCGAAAGTTGCCTACCAATAGTTTTTTTAATGAACTACCAAAACATGTGTTTTGTTAGTTTAGTGTGTATTCACTGTTATGGACCCACCCCTGCAATGTCTCGAACTGTGAGACAGCAGTATTTGTAAATAAAATAAAAAATAAAAATGCCCTTGGGTGCTCTAGTGTATTACTTGTCGAGTGAACTTTGATGGCCTTCCCAACCTATCGACCCGTTTCTACAGCACCAGAGCAACGAAAAGTAGACGAGCAGGAAAACCACGCACCGACGGAGCACACGACAAATCCTCGAAGGGGCTCAGGTCGACTAGACGTCGGCAACGCCGAGTGAAACGAGAAGGCGTCCGCGTCGCTCCTCTTGGGCACGTACACGCACAAGTTGGGAACTTCGGGAGACTGCCGACAGAGCCAGGACACTACGACGCCAGGTCTCACGACCTGTAGTCGCGGTGTTGCCGTCTCGCCACCTCGCAAGACTTCGCGCCAGCGTTCCAACGAGTCCTCGTCACCGGCAAGGAGTGAATCGACGAAGGAGCACCACAGCATCGACGCCTGCTCGTGCAGCTGAACGCGTCTGACGCAGGACGCGACTGCTATCACTTCGTCGGCAGTACAGAAGACCGCGTTGCAAGTTAACCACTTCTCCGCCGCGTCCCGTACGACTTCCTCGCTGGAGGCGTTCAGCGAGTCCTTGGAGAGTAGGCACTCGACCAGAGCGTAGGGCAGGTAGCCAGAGTCTCGTGCCCCACGAAGTCTTCGAATTGCCAAAGGAGCGTCACCAGGGCGGCTCGACGTAGCTGCCCGACGCCGAAGGCGTCCCCCTTACGCCACGTTTCGACGGCGTTGTCGAGGCATACACTGTGTAGCAGGTGCTCCGTGCAGTCCTTGCGGAGGTGTTCGAACTGGAAGACGCAGCCGGCCTTCAAGAGGCGGTCGACGTTGTCGCTCGACACCTTCACAGGACGACCCTCGGAGACGTCGATAAGAGCCCTCAAGGTCTCCGGTTCTATGTCTCGCATTTCTATCTCGTCACACGAGGACTCTTTCATGCCCGACGCGAACATGGCATCAAAGTAGCGAGAGCAACTGCGCAGCGCTTCGCGGGAGGCCTCGAATTTCTCGCCGCAGGTGGTGATGAGCACACGGTCAGACGCCATAACGTAGTGACGGGTGCTTACGTGATGACCTTACACGGCTCTAATGACAATGCAAGAACAAATAACGCGAGGCGCGTCCAAAAAACAAACGAAAGTTGATGCACTGATGAAACGAGCCATTCAAAAACACGCCTTATGACTTCGGCTTGACTCGTCCTGGCTGTCAGTTTGTCCGACTTCAACAGCTGGACCAACGCCTTCTCTAGAAAGATGCCTGAGGAATGGCTCGCGCTCCCAGCGGAGTTGGCCTGCCTTCAGTTTTCAACTTGCTCCGCGCAGTGGCGCTCGCGACCGACACACACACAAAAAAAAGGGCACTGTGGAATTACAATAGGTATGATGTTGTGAGAGGAATATGGAAAGGGGTCATGGTTCCTGGGCTGACGTTCGGCAATGCGGTCTTGCGCATGAGATCAGAAGTTCAAGCAAGATTAGAAATTAAGCAACGTGAAATAGGTAGGCTTGCTTTAGGAGCTCACGGGAATACACCAAATCAGGGAGTACAAGGTGATATGGGATGGACATCATTTGATGGCAGGGAGGCTAGCAGCAAGATAAAATTTAGAGAAGCGATTTAGAGAAATGGGGGAGGAGCGTTGGGCTAGGAAGGTTTTCGGCTACTTGTACATGAAGAATGTCGATACAAAATGGAGGAAGCGAACCAGGAAATTTACTGGTAAATACTTAGAAAACAGCAGGTGGCCAAACCAAAAAGAACTATCGGTTACGAAGAAAGTGAAGGAAACGGAGACTGAAATGTGGAGAATCGGCATGATTAAGAAGTCCGCACTAAAGATTTATCGAACTTTTAAGCAGGAAATTGCCAAGGAAAGAATCTATGATAATACTCTGAGTAGTTCTCTACTGTTTGAGGCCGGGACGGGAGTATCGCGAACCAAGACATATCGGGCCAAGTACGAAGGGGTAGACAGTATGCAGTGCGTGTGGAGAGGAAGAAGAAACTGCCGAACACTTGACAATGTTCTGTAAAGGGCTTCACCCTATCGTTCAGGATGATGGCGCAAAGTTTTTCAATGAACTGGGGTTTAGGGACAGGGAGGGCAAAACTTCAAGCGGGTAGACTTGACTAGAAGGAGGTTATCTGATTGGTGGCTAAAGTCAAGGCATGAGTGAAAATTAAATCCTTCAGTGCAAAGTATGAATCCTCAACCTCACTCTTTAAAGGAAAAAAAAAAGATAAATCTAATAGTTAGTCCACTAAGTATTACGGCTAGGTGACGTTAGCCGCCGCCCGATCTAAAGGGTACAGCCACATCCATTTATTCATCCATCCATTTATTATCACGGCGACGGGCGGTACCATCAAGGACAAGGAGGTTATACTAAAGTTCTAAGTATAACCTCCTTGCATAAAACTTGGTTATGTATCCTTCTTGGGTACCAGCCAAGCGTTTTTCACCTGCGGCCTATAGGGGCGCGTCAGTCGAGAGTTGTTCGAGACCTGCAATTGTACACTACTCTTTTGGAGGCTATGCAAAGTGTTGCGTTGTTGCACCGTTCGCCACAAGTGACGCTAGCGACCGAGAACATTTTCAAAATGAAAGAGAGAAAGGGTGTGGCATATTCCTAGAGGAGGCGTTGGCTGGGATAACTGAACCGCTACAATTGGCCAAACAAGTGACAAAAGCTTGGCCTCAGAGAACTCACAATTTCGGCTCTCAAAGGCCAGGACTCAATATTACCTAATATACTTTTTGAAAACTTAATAAAAATTTTATTTATTCTTTCAACATACAATAACATTTATTTTTCTTCAAACTTTTACAAATAGAAAGATGTTAAAAAAAACGTGATGGAGAAAGGATCACTGCGATCACCGGAACCACCATCTTATTGTTGTGTTTCATTTGTGGGAGTCGCTCGCAGGATTTCAAGCTGGACGGTTGTGCCCTCGCGATCTCCGACTTCAGCGTAGCTCCCGCCGACTGGTTCGCCCTCCGCGGTCTCCTGACGCCGTGTAGCTCTCGCATTGTGGCACCCCGCCCTTGGACTGCTTCGACCGGATCCCCACTTTCCTATCTCCTTCTTTTTTCCTCTCGTTGGCTGTCTTCTTCTGCTTCTACTTTCCTTCTATTCTTTTTATCCCTCCTTCCCCCCACCCCTATAAGGCACTGCGCCGTGTCGCCTGAAGGCAGACAGAAATTAGGTGCCTTTTTCCTCTTCATTGTAACCACTACCACCACCACCATTTGTGTTTTGTTGCGGACAACTAGCGGTGAGCGCGTGTTTTGTTGTTCGGTGCCCATTACCTGCCGTTTGTGACCCCTGCATGGATTTCAGTGAATCTAAAGTGTGTCGCTTTACTTCGCTAACAGCATAGACTGTGCTGCGTTCTACGTTTACCGCTCGTGAATATACTTTTTAGGTTTTTCTTTTAATTTTGTGCCGGTGGCGTCCGCGTCCCTGCAGTGTGTCCGCTGGCAGCCTGGCAGTGCGTGCGTTTTTACTGAACGATTCCAAGCTGAACTGTCCCGTTACCTTTCTGGACAACGCGCGAAAGTGAGTTAACGAAAGGAAAAAAAAGACAACGCAGTCGGGCTACGCGTGCCTCATTTCTGAACAGCGTTGTTCATCCGTTGTGTGCTCGCGTGCTCATCGGCGGGTTCGCGCGCCTCCACCGAACCGTTCAAGACCGCGAACGCTCGCTAGAATCACCGGTGCTCAACTCGGTCACCAGTGTCGCATCCTCATGAACCCTTCGTGGAATCGGGTTGCCGAAGAGCGCCGTCAGAACGCGGCATCCGCACAAGCTATGATCAACGACCCTGCTTCAACCGCAAGAAGCGGCGGTGGTGGTGCCGACATCGCGGCAGTGACTGGAGGACCAGTCGCTCCCGCGCCCAGAGGACCTACCACCGCTGCCGGCAGCAGCGGCAGCGCCGATGATCAAGCCCGTCGAAAGCCGCGCAAGAAGCGGCGCAGGGTGGACGTCAGGACCGACGGCGACCGCGCCGTCGACGGCACCTCAGACCTCCCTGACGCCGCCGCTGCCGAGAGCGACACGCCCGCCACGCGAACAACCGCCGAGAACGAAGTCGAGAACGAGGTCGAGAGCGATCAGGAAGACCTGAGTGGGCTGGAGGGAGCCGCGTTCCAGAGCCGACTTCCCTTCGACAAGATGACCGCGCAGGAGGCGGCCTGCTTTCCCGACATCGTGCAGAGCGCGCTGCAGACGCAAAAGATCTTCCTGCACATCCGCAACCGGCTGCTCCAGCTGTGGCTCGAGAATCCCAAGCAGCAACTGGTGTTCGAGAACGCACTGCCCCAAATGGAGCCGCCGTACAACAGTGACGGCCCCCTGGTGCACCGCATCTTCTCCTACCTAGAGCGCCAGGGACTCATCAACTTTGGCGTCTACGAGAGACCCCCGCCGGGACTTCACAAGAAGCATGGCAAGGTCATCGTCATCGGTGCCGGAATCTCGGGCCTGGCCGCGGCCCAACAGCTGCAGCAGTTCGGTATGGAAGTACTCGTGCTTGAAGCCAGGGACCGTGTCGGAGGTCGCATTGCCACCTTCCGCAAAGGTGGCTACGTAGCCGACCTGGGAGCCATGGTGGTCACGGGTCTTGGAGGAAACCCCATCACCATCCTCAGCAAGCAGATCAAGATGGAACTGCACAAGATCAAGCAGAAGTGCCCACTCTACGAGTCCAATGGCACCACTGTGCCAAAGGACAAGGACGAAATGGTGGAGCGAGAGTTCAACCGCCTTCTCGAGGCTACGTCGTACATGTCGCACCACCTGGACTTCAACTACGTTCAGAACAAGCCTGTGTCACTGGGACAGGCCCTAGAGTGGGTCATCAAGCTTCAAGAGAAGAGTGTCAAGGAGAAAGCAGATCGAGCACTGGAAGGCCATCCTGGAGCTGCAGGAAAAGCTCAAGGAAAACCACACAAAGCTCATCGAAGTACGTGAGCGAGTCGAGGAGCTGAATCGGATTTACCGAGAGTCGGCCGCACAGAAGCAGCGCGATGTCACTCAGGAGTTCGTCCACCGAAGTCGCATCCATGACCTAACACTCGTGTGTCGAGAGTGGGACCAGCTCCTCGAGCAGCAGAGGGAGATCGAGGACAAGCTCGAGGAACTGGAGTCGTCGCCGCCCAGTGATGTCTACCTCTCGTCTCGCGATCGCCAGGTCCTGGACTGGCACTTCGCTAACCTAGAGTTTGCCAATGCAACGCCACTCAACAATCTATCTCTAAAGCACTGGGACCAGGATGATGACTTTGAGTTCACAGGAAGCCACTTGACCGTCCGCAATGGCTACTCCTGTGTCCCTGTCGCCTTGGCTGAGGGGTTGGACATTCGCCTCAACACTGCAGTCAAGCATGTCTACCTCTCCGCTACGGGCGTCGAAGTCACAACAACCAACACACGTACCAACACAGGACTGGCCACGTTCAAGGCCGATGCGGTTCTTTGCACCCTGCCACTTGGAGTGCTTAAGCAGTCAATACTCAACAATCCCAATGTACTCAACACTGTACAGTTCGTGCCTCCACTGCCGGAGTGGAAAGCAGCGGCCATCGCGCGCCTGGGCTTTGGCAACCTGAACAAGGTCGTGCTGTGCTTTGACCGCATCTTCTGGGACCCGAACTCGAATTTGTTTGGACACGTTGGTAGCACAACCGGAAGCAGGGGCGAACTCTTTCTCTTCTGGAACCTCTACAAGGCGCCCGTGCTCCTTGCCCTGGTTGCGGGCGAGGCGGCGACCATCATGGAGAACGTCAGTGACGACGTCATCATCGGCCGCTGCATCGCGGTCCTCAAGGGCATTTTTGGGAACAGCGCCGTGTCACAGCCCAAGGAGACAGTCGTGACAAGGTGGCGCGCTGACCCATGGTCTCGTGGTTCTTACTCGTTCGTGGCAACTGGCTCATCGGGCAACGACTACGACATCCTGGCCGCGCCCGTCACGCCCAGCTCGAACCACATGACGCCAGCACTCCCACGACTCTTCTTTGCCGGGGAGCACACCATTCGAAACTATCCCGCCACGGTTCACGGGGCATTGCTCAGTGGTCTGAGAGAGGCTGGGCGAATCGCTGACCAGTTCCTGGGATGTCCTTATGCACCAAGCTGCAACTAAAGTGGCCTTACTTAAACCTGTCACTGACCGCAAATGCACCGTCATTCACCAACACTTGTAAAACTTAACTTTTTTGTACAATGTTTGCAAAGTAATGAACCTTGTAACCCAACTGCTTTAGTAGCCCTTAAAAGGTCTATTCTATAGTAACAACAGTGAAAGCATCACTGAGAGGCTTAGCTAAGCATAACCATTTCATCTAGACTTCATGTTATTATTAATCATCAAGCTCATCACAAGTCCGTGCCAGTTGTTCGTGTCCATTCTAATGTACCACATGTGCTGTTTGCATTTACAGTCACTTCAAATCATCTGCAAGTCCTGCTGCGCAACGCATTTTGAGCATAATGAATTTTTTGCCGTGGCTTAGTGTGTCACGCTGATTGCTCAGGACAGCACTGCCTTTTTCCTTTTATCTAAGAAAGAACGGCTTGCCCAGAAAGCACAATATTTTAGTTTAGAGCAGCTTTGTGTCATCTACTTCAATACATTGTCTGAGCTCATCTCACTCGAGTACTGCAGCTTTGTGCTTCCATTAAACAAAGGCATGCATGGATGTAAGGGAGAAACATAGTGCCTGGTTGCATGCAGTGCAACACTCACTGTACAAATCATATTCTAGTTTCGTGCACTGAGTCTTCAAGTGGCATATCATGGTACAAGTATGAAAACATTTCTGGGCAGTGCACAGTTGCTAAACGTTCACCGCTTCATATAGTTTTTGATATTGTGTTGGCATGTTCAGACTAGTGAGAAAGCTGATGTTGCATTGGGAACAACGTTTGTAAATCAGTGCTGGCCTGTAAACACTGATTAAATTGCTTAATCTTTTAACAAGTTTTTTTGGGTGCATTAAAAGCTTTTCGAAATCACATGTATATTTGTCAATCTCTTCTTGAGTTTTTCCCGACCATCTATAAATGTACAGAGAGGCCAGGAAATGCTTTTTTGGAACCCGCCATATGGTGGTCTAGTGGTTGTTGTGCTCAACTAGTGACCTGCAGGTCACGGTATTGCACCCCGGCCATTGTGGTCCCATTTTTGGTCGAGGCAAAAGTGCTCAGGCCTATGTTCTTGTATCCGACATTGGTTACCGAGTGATCGTTGGGACCAAAAAATGGTGCAGTGTTCTGGCAGTCTTTGTTGTTCCAAGTCGGCTGCAGCGTGTGCACTTTGAAGGTTAACAAAGGGTATACCTTTAGAAAATGTGTGCTGTTTCAGTATTTGGCTAGTGAGACATATTTTAGTGCACCCAGGTTAGCAGGTGTAGTAATGGTAACTGTGAAACATCTCTCGGCGGCAACCTCAGAAGTCTGGAAAAAGCTCTGCCCACAAAACCACAGCACTCATCGTTCTTCTGTGTTTCAAGGTGGACTTCCCGGAGTTGCCAAGTTTAAAGAAAGTTTCCGTCCACTGCGATACAGCGAAAATGAAATTAAATGAATGAAAGATTGAAATGTCTCGGATCCGAATAAATTTCACTTTGAGGTAGATGGTGGTTTATTCGTTGTCTCTTTCAATAAGAAAGGCAAAAATACGGTAGACTCTCAGTAAACTGCAATCTGTTAAACGGAGCTGCTGCTTGAATGGAACAATGCTTTTGACAAGATTGGTTTCCTTATTGTATTCTGCACCCCTGGTCATCTCTCAGTAAATGGAACTCCAGTTAAGGTGGTAGGCCACCTACAAAAGTATTTTTTTTTTTCGCGATAAAAATTTTTAGGGTTTTGTTTTTCTTGCACGCCCATACACTCGCATAAATGTAGCCAAAAATTATCCTCCTAGCGTCATTAGTTTGTGAGTTAAAGCAAGTTTTCTATACCCAATGCTCCTATAGCAAAACCGAAACCACTTTTCCAACTGTGGTTTCGGTTTAAAAAAATTTTAAGAGCTATGCCGCTGTCAAAGACATGTATGGAAAGGACAGTGTGCAGAAACTGGAATGTATTGGGCATGTCCAGAAGCGTGTTGGCTGCTGCCTCAGAAAACTGAAGACGGTGCGTGGACTCGTGGACTCGGTGGTAAGAAAAAGCTCACTGATGCCCTCATCGACCGCCTGCAAAACTACTATGTCATCACCATAAGAGCTAATGTGGGCAACCTTTCTGCAATGAAAAAGGCTACCCTTGCCAGTCTTTTTCATTGCAGCTCTACCGACAAGCAGCCGAGACACGGCCTGTGTCCACTTGGACCGAAAAGCTGGTGCGTATACCAAAGGGTCGAAGCACTCGGCCAAGGGAAATATGGACACTAAGGAGGACTTCCAAATGATGTGCTCAACAAAGTTAAAACTGTCTACAGTGATCTGTGCTCTGATGAACTTCTAATAAAGTGCCTTCATAGAAAGACTCAAAATGCTAACGAGTGTTTCAATGGTCTAATATGGCAGCGGGCACCCAAAGAGGTCTACGTAAGCTTGCCTACAGTAATGTTTGCCTTGCATGATGCTGTGGCACACTTTAATAATGGCAGTGTAAGCACCCTAGATATCCTGAGGCAAGCTGACATAGAACCAGGGTACCACACGACAAAAGCTTGCATCGCCAGGGATCACCTGCGCATGCAGAATGCTAAACGCAAGTCAGCGGATGGGACAAAACAGGCCAGGAAGAAAAGACGAGCAGCCACCCCAACAAAAGGAGACAATAATGCTTCCGCAGAAGAGCCCAGCTATGAATCTAGTGCATTTTAGGCCTGCATGCAAAGATTGTGACCCTTCTTACAAGCTCAGAAATCTTTGTTTACGTTTTTCTGAAAATAACAATTTGCTCCAAATGTTGCGACGCAAACTTTCATAACGCATTTCTCATCGTATACTTTGAACTGAAATTTCGCACAATGATTTACAACATATATATCTGTGCAGTGAACTAGAATAAAAGAAATTCATCGAATATTTTTCAGTTCACAGCTGAATTCTCTAACAGGTTCAGTTAAATTGACTCTATTTCCCTGTTTTTTTTTGTTTTTTAGCATTACTTCCTTGATATTCACTGCATAATATTTATTCTAGTTTACTGCATAGCTCCAGCCATTAGTTACACAAATGTCAAAGCTTTACTGAATAAAGCCACCCATTAGTCACTTATCAGAGCTGGCGTGGCTAGCACTTTTAATGCAATTTTTGACAAAGATTACCTCCCAATAAATAAATATTCAATATTTTGCACTGTAAATAGCTGGGTAAATTAAATAAGACATGCTGGCTTTGAGGAAAAAGTTATTTCAACGCTGCCTGCCCTTAAAATTTTTTTGTTTTTGAGTGGCCTATCACCTTAAACAAACCATATTTTTACTTGTCCTTTCAGGGTCTATTTAATGAGTCTACTGTACTAATTGTCGATGTCCTGGTGCAGTTCTGAACAGCACCTGAAAATGTATCGTGAATGGTGAACATCTTTTAATTTAACGTTATATTTGCATCAGCAGCGTTAGATGAGGCGCACCACACAAGGTGTAATAATATAATGCATGCACATAAATCAAATTCCTGTCTTTCGAAAAATACCGTCATCAAGAAAATTAAGGGAAGGACAGCGAAGGAGTAGATTGCGTGAAGAAACTGAAAATTTTCAGGCATAGGTAACATTCAACTTGTACAAGATTAGTGAAAATGCACGTTCATGCTGTCGTGAACATGCATGACCCTTATGTTGGTGACGCAAGACATCCCAACTATTGTAGTACGAAAAGTTGTTGCCAATGTGGCCATCACTTACTAAAAAATGTATATATACGCATGTTGGTATTTTTCTCTCCAACCTATTAAGAGTTCCTAATGAAATGAGAAGAATGAAGTGTTTGATTAAGTGCCACATTTTCCCAGACTGGTTTACATTTTCCAACGCATGCTTTTTGTATGGTACTCAAGCTCGCCTTGCTTGTTTTGTTTCAAAACATCGCATATAATCTCGAGATGTTTGTGCACAGAAATGCCAGTCTTGGAGGCTATACAATGGTAGACACTGCCTTCTGATTTAATTCTGCAACTCATACAGAGAGGGCACAATGCATCAGCAAAAGAGGATGTTTCTGCTTTTAATTGATAACTATAAAGTGTAGCCCTCCGCTCTACTCCGAAATGCACAAAACAAGTGACATTCACGAGTTGTGATGAAGGTAAGTGACAATAAAATTGGCATAACTTCATTCATTTTTGTGTTAAAATCCAACATAATTCTATTTTTGTTCAGCTTACAATTTACCATTACAAAACAGTTTTACATTTCACATTAAGATAATACCCAATTTTCAGTGTTGACAACAGTCTCCGCCCCCGTATTAGTCTGTCATTTTTTTTTTCTCCACAATAATTTTTTCTCGGTAAAACCAATGCTTTTATCAGACCTTTTGACACATTTCACAATCTAAATGTGGGAATACGAGCACAGACGATCACTTTTATATGCTAACGTTTCATGCTCTTTACAGGCACTGAAGATTTTATCATGAAAATGTACATTGTACAGAAAACTTGCATCATTTCTCCCCTCTAAAGCTTTGCCTTCAATCAGGTCACATTTGGGTTGTACATAATGTGTTGGTATGAATGGGTCTACCAACAATTAAAAATTAAAAAAGAATTCAGTATTTAAGAAAACGCTGTTCTTCAGACGTAATGAATCACAAGTGCAGATCTATTGAATGGATACTACAGCTCAAGTCAACCCGTAGCTATGTAATTATTTACATGCATTTGCATTTACTACTAGTAAATACTTGTAAGTTATATGCAATTAGTTTTTAGTAATTGCTCTACATTTGTGCAGAAGTAATTAGAAACTGTAATCAATTACACTTTTGACTTAGTATAATTGTAATTGGTCACCTTATTTTCGTATGGTCCACAAGTCTGACCTAAAGGCTATTCTGCAGGTGTGTCCATAATCAGAAGTATGCAGGGCAGAAGTTGAAGCTTGGCTCATTGTTTTTAATCAAAAGGAAAGTGATTCAAATATATGGAAAATAATGTCCCAAAGTAGAAGATAGAGATTAATATCCTAAAGTAAGAAGTTCTGCAACAAGGAAACAGTGCTGAAAAGACAGAACACACGTGAAAGTGCTATCTCTGTGTGTCTTTCTGTGTTTTCCTTGCTTGTGCTGTTTAATCTTCAAATATGAATCAGTTCACCAAAGCAATCACATTAGTAAGATAATTTCCTTTGATGCCTTACTTCTCCATGAAACCACAAAATGAACAAAATGAAATCACAAAATGAACGGTGCCATTCAGACTCGGATTTACATTAACCATTGCATTAGCCAGTTTCGATTTGTCCATCCGAGTGGCACAGTTCTTAAATGCAAAGCATTTCTTTATGTATTGCAGGCACTTCAACTGTCTCTCTACGTATCTATCTGTCTGGGTGCTCCTTTGATCACCCCCTTAACATGGGGTGAACAAATGTTAGTTTGGGAGGATAAGGTAAGACGGTTTGATGAATATGACTCACTGGTTATGACATGAATAATGTCACAGTCTTGTCCCATAATCCTGAAGCCTTTTCTGCCAGACGTGTGGCACATAGCTACAGGTAGATATGTGCCACAGGTGACTAACAATTTATATCTAGTGCAACAGGTGATGGACACTTTACCCATAAACGTTGAGAACAGACAAGGGTAATTTTAACATGCAAGTATTAAGAAAAAAAGCTGCATTGGCAGCGTTTACCCAACTAATGCAAAGAATAAATGTCAGGGTCCCAGCAGAAATCGCACCACAGCATTCTGCGTGGCAATCAAGTATTCTACCACACGGCCATGCCAGCTCATGTAACTACTTTTAAAAAAGACCATAATGTTCGTAAAACATCAATTCTGGTTGCAGTGCTGACTATCCAATTTTATAAACAATACAAATGTACTCCTATG